CTGTGTGTACATTATTGAGGAAAAAAAATTAACTTAAATGATTTTAGCAAATGGCTGCAATATAACAAAGAGTGAAATATGTAAGGGGGTCTGAATACTTTCCGTACCCACTGTATATATATATATACAGTATATATATTAGTGCTGTCAATCGATAAAAAACTGCCTAATTTTGACACCACAAATACACACACACACACACACACACACACACACACATATATACTATATATATAAAGAGAGAGAGAGAGAGCACCCTCACTAATTTAAGAAGTACCCTCAACGATTTGATTGTGGAGCCTGGCCTGCTAGTGTACCAGTGTTTTTTTTTTAGCATTAAAAAATTTGTCTTGTACAGCCCATTTTTGCATGCATGTAAATATACAGTAGGTAATGATTTCCTCTGTTAAATTATTGTGCAATAAAACACTGTCTACACAAAACAACTTCAAATATGACAATACGTGAATTGTGTTTGATTGAAATGGTGTTGATAAATGACATTGGAGCTAACCAGAGGGGGGGAAATTAAATAAAAAGAGATCTCTTTAACATCTCAAATATTTAAATTAGGTTAAGATGGAGATTTTTGCTTGAATCTCTTGCTTCTCAAACTTGTCTCCTGAGACAAAAACTCTAACACTCTCACATTTGTCTCCTTTAAAGTTGAAGAAGAGACCTCGTCATCATCACACACTGTGCTCAGATTTTTCCCCTTGGCTAGAGACACTGGGTCTCTCATATTTGTCTCCTCCAATGTTTGAAAAAATATCTCAACAACATCACACACTGTGCTCAGATTTTTCTCCTAAACTAAAGATTCTGGTGGTCTCATATTGGTCTCTTCCAGTGTTTCAAACAAGATCTCATCATCATCACACACTGTGCTCAGATTTGTCTCCTTAGCTAGAGACACTGGATCTCTTACATTTGTATCTTCAAAAGTTCTGAAGAGATCTCAACAACATCACACATTGTGCTCAGGTTTCTCTTAAGCTAAACCTCTAGGGGTCTCATATTTGTCTCCTTTAAAGCTTTACAAAGCATGCACCAAGTTAAGTACTTGAAAGGCTCTAAATAAAGGGGAAAAAACACAAATTCAGAGTTTAAGAGAAATCATGCAGAAATAAGGATAATGTTACTTTTTATTTGATAATGTTTATGTGCTTAGGCACAATTTGTTGTTGGAAATAGTAATGTACCCGATGCCTTTATCAAAATTTACACAAAAAAGTAACCCTGGAGCTTTTCTTTACTGAAAGGCACATCAATGGCTTATGACTCCGTCTTGATTATTGATTAATTTGATTATAATACATATTATATGGTAGAGATGTTTGAGCTCATATTGAAACATTTGAACACTTTGTAAAGTTGTTGAGCGACAAATGAGACAAAGGAGACTAATGTGAGAGTTCCCGATTCTTTAGTGTAGGAGAAAAATCTGAGGACAGTGTGTGATGTTGAGATCTTTTCTAAAGCTTTAAAAGAGACAAATGTGAGAGATCCAGGGCCTCATTTATAAAATGTGAAATGTAAAATGTTTAAAATCCACAGCAACGTTCATATTTATAAAAAAGGTCTTTGATATGGAAAAATACTTACCGCCACGTCAGGGTCGGAGCAGGCGTACGCACTTTTCCTTGTGGCAAAGTCGGAGTACTGCAGCTATTTGAACATCTAAGCTGCAATAATAATAAAAGCGGTGTACGTGCAAGCACCGAATTCATCATGAACAACAAAAATGCAGTGTAAGAGATTAATTGTGCAGTGTAGTCAGAATTTTTATTAACGGGAGTTTTGCGAGATTAAACTGACCTTTTTAGTAGCCTAATGTTGAGAGTTTATTCCATGTTGTTTTTTTATCATTTTATTTTACAAGAGAAATTGCAAAGTAATCACACAGAATGGAGTGTATTGAAAATCTGAAATAGCACAAAGTCTCCTGTGAGGGGTAGGTTTAGGGGTAGGGTTGGTAAAGGGCAATACACTGAAAAAAGGGAGACTGGTCACCTGTTCAATTTATGAAATTATATTTAGTATATTTTACTAAAGGGTATTATGTTCTTAAGTAAAACGTGTTGCGAGATTAAACTGACCTTTTTAGTAGCCTAATGTTGAGAGTTTATTCCATGTTGTTTTTTTATCATTTTATTTTACAAGAGAAATTGCAAAGTCTTGATTTTACTACTAATGCGCTAAATAGAAAAAAATGTATAAACGCATCTGACTGTTTTGTCTGTGTAGCCTATAAGAATACACTGAAAAAAGGGAGACTGGTCACCTGTTAAATTTATGAAATTATATTTAGTATATTTTACTAAAGGGTTTTATGTTCTTAAGTAAAACGTGATAGCATTGTGTAGACTGCACATTATATGCAGAAAGCGTGCACGAACATACTTTATCCCAACATGAGCTAAATAAGTCAATCAAGTGAAGAATACCAGTTCTCATTTTATCTCACGATATTCACGCACGGGTGCAATGCATTTCGGGAAGAAGAAAGAAAAGTCCGCGCTTTTTTTCAACGGTCCCACTTGCAACTTCCAGAGAAACAGAGACCTGCATCATGTAAGTTACAGACAGAATAGGCTACAATAATAATTCTACGAGTTAGAGGTTTGTTGCAGCAAAACTGAAATTGGTGATTTTTGGAACAACAAGGTTTTGGTGAGTTTTATTTAGTTTTTGTCGAATTAGAATGAAGTGTGTCCGTTACTGCCTACTGGCGCGGACGAGCCGTGGGGCCGCCATCTTATGGTGCGTTCACACCAGACGCGAATAGAGCGTCTGGCGCGAGTGATCTCAATGTTAAGTCAATGCAAAGACGCGTTACGCGCGTCAAAAGTTCCTGCGGCGCGAATGGGGCATAGAGCGCGGCGCGGTAGACGCGAATACGCCGAATTGAGCGTCTGGTGCGTTACGCGCGAATTATTTTATATGGTGCTTTTTGTGCATTCACGCGTTTGACGCGAATTCG